GTTCAGTCTGTTTTGTTCCTCAGAGGCCAACACACATGTAGAAATAAGAACAGTCTGTATCTTATTCCACTTGCAAAGCATCTTATCCTACTTTTCAGATGATGAAAAAGGAGAAAATATTGTGACTTGGTAGGGAAGGATCTCCAGATCTCTGCTTCCTACTTCTGCCTTCAGTTGGCAGCGACTTGGAGGACGTTGGTGTCCTTGAAACAGCAGCTCCCCAGGGAAGAGGCCAGACAGAAGCAGAAGAGACAGAAATCAGCTTGAGGTGGGAAAAAAGAGTGAGCAGTGGGACTCTGCAATGTCTCCCGTGGGGCAGCAGTCCTTTTACAAAGGATAGCAACGGGCTGTCATCACCTCCTGTGCAATTGGTAGAGAGCCACAGGCCAGCACTGCCCACCTCACCTACCCCATCACAGGGGCTGCTCCTGTTTTCAGGCTAACACTGACCCTGCAAAAGGAGATCACAGATTTTTCCATGACCTTGTTCAGAAAATCTGCAGGTGGGGACTAGTCAGAAGCTTCGGTCCTTTGATGGAGATCTCTCACCTTTGCTTTGTCCCAGCACAAGAAATCACTTTCATGGGAGGGACTGTGCTTTGGGTCAGGAGATGGAGGCAGTGGCTCCAAGTGTGCCTTGGCTACAGGCAGTTCAGCTGGATAACCTGGTCCCATGTGGTGCTACCTGGTTGTGTAACTTTGGCCCTGGATGGGATGAGAGGTAGCTAAGGTGGTGGTGGTAAGTAAATGCTCACTCCCCCTGGAGGCTGCTAGCCGAAAGTGAACAGATAACAGCGGGTGTAGAAGTATGTGATACTGAGTGTCCTGTAGCTCACCCAGTTTTCACCCTGGTCTTTTTCCTGTCCTCACTCCCCATCCGTGGGGACACCAGGATCCCTGCAGCCTGGGATTCTCGAAGAAGTTCTCATGGGAACTATCACGTTCTCAAAGGGCAAGTAAACATCCCAGGGCACTTATGTTGGAGCAGATGTTTGCTCTGGCCCCAAAGACCCTCTCATTCCCACCATACCAGAACACGCTGAGCGCCAATCAGCTCCACGCGTCTCATCGAAGCACAAAATATGCACTCTTGCGCAAGTGTTCCCCAACACAGCCTGTCTCCATCTCTCCTCCAGACAGGCCATGCTGAACGCTGGAGACAAAACTGATGCTGAGATGATACACACAGAGAGACAATGAGTCAACAAGGTGATCAAAAAGAGTCCCACAGCCAAATTCCTCCTGAAATCTACAGGAACAATGTGCATGGCTAGAAGTAGGACAGCAGTTGTCTCAAGATAAGCCCTACCTGACCCACTGTGCAAGACCAGAAGGTATTTTTTAAAAAGTCATCAGAGCTTGGATCTCTCTTCCTTAACATAGCTTTGATTTAAGTCCATTGGTTTCAGCTTGACTACGCTGAATTTACTGTATAGTTTCACTTGGTGACTGAAACTGCTCAGTGAATGCTTACAGATGTAGTATTCTGCATAAAATCCCTGCAGTGGAGAATGGGGCAATGATTTGGATTTTAAGCATTTTATTATTATTTCAGAGCCTTTTTAATGGGTTTAGAGAGAAAAGGATGAAGGCTATTTTGCTACTTGGGGGGTGAGGATTTGGCTTTATTCAATCCACAGATAAATAGGGTTTTTTTCATGGAGCTGGGATTATTCCATGGCCCTGATCTAAACCCAAAACAACTGCCAACAGCAGACACCAGAGCTGGTAGCCCAAACTATCTGCAAGGCATCTCTTTGCAGGTGTCCTTGAGAAAGTCATAGTGTAATGTCCCAGGCCGATCTCGGTGGTACCCAAGGAAGACTCCCTTTGTACTTTGAGCGTTGTGCTCCCACAGGTGGGACACTGAGTGTGGAGTTTATTTAGCTCATGGATGAAAACACCCATACTTAGGGCATCGTTTCAGTTTCTCACACCATGGTGTCTGGTGTAATTTGAGATGCCCTTCCTGGCCTCCAGTTGCTCATCCAGAAAGGTGAAGGCCTCCCATAAGGCCTATGTCTTTCTAGCCCTATGCAGACACTTTAGGGCACTTTGCACGGTACCCATGTGTGGGTCACTGACTGGAGCCCTGGGGTCAGTGTGTGGAGGTCCGAGCTCTCAGCATAGTTGGTGGAGAGCTGGTCAAGGCAGTCAACAGAGCCCAGAGGGCTTTTCACCAACACATCCATTTGGTTGCCACTGGTATGCATCTTGCTCTGGCATTGTTCACCTGCTGCACTGTGGGTAGAATAACTACCATTGTAGCGTGGTTCTCTCAGTAATCGCTTGTGAAAAAAAAGAAACACCAGGAAAAGAGGCTCACTTTCTTTCCTTTTTTCTTTAAATACTTACTTTATTGAGGAGATATTATGAACTATCAGCCCTGATTTTCCCCAGAAGCTGGGACAGCCACACTGGCCACGGTCAACGGTGGAAGATCCAGGGATGTCCAGGAAAGCTACTGACTGCCCTCTCTGTGTGCAGGGACACTGTAATACAACTGGCAAACCTCTTGTATCAGTTCCTCTTCTGGTAAAAATCTCTATGGCCCTACACTAGGCTAATGAAAAGGAAATAAATGCCAGCCATCTGGTGATTACTTTCTCCCCACTGAAGGGCTCTGCTGTACCTCTGCCCCTCAGCAAGCCTAACAGAGGCTGTTTTGCTTCGCTAGTTTGGCTCAGCCATATTCTTCCCAAGGAACATAGTTTCCCAGTCCTGCAGTGAAGTATCTACCCACCATATGGCCCAGACCCATTTTTCTAACAAGGGTGTCCCTTAGACTCCCCTAGAACATCCTAAAGTTGTTGTTTTCCCCTATATGTCTGCCTTCTCTGTCCCAGAAATGAATCTCCACCAGGCTAGAGTGATTTGAGGGGAAGCTTCATATCAATCAATTTGGCTATGGTTTATAGGTGAGAAGACAGAGGTAGGCTCCTTCCAGAGGCTGTCAGAGCTTGCTTTGCTGTTTGAAATCATGTCCTGGGCCTGACTATATCAAAGGCTGAGGGACTCTAAACACCAAAATTACTCTGTGCTTTTGGGGTTTGACAGTTGTACTCAGTGCTGGGCTTGAGACACTGCATCAGAACACCTTAACCCAATGGTGTCCAAGTAGCTGGTAAAGGCAAAGCTCAAGTGCAGTTTTTCCTGTTCCCTTCCTTCCTTCCATGCCTCAGTTTCCCTGCCTGGAGACACAGCTGCTCCAGAGTAGGCAGTGCAGACAATCAGCAGCTTGGGTCTGAAGCATCACAGCAGGTAGTTGCCCAAAGTCATGCCGCATGACTTTCAGATGACTCCAAGAGGATGCCACCTGCAACATGTCCTGGGAGAAGGAAGCAGTGCGTGCCTTGGGGATAGGAAGGGGGCTTCTTTTCCTGCACAAAACCAGAGAGGTAGAGCTACTATTCCACCATGGAACATTTTTCCACTTGCCTCTTGGACTTTACGTATTACAGCAACACAACAAACCCTAATATGCGTCTTTGCTCTGCAGTGCTCAGGTGAAATGAAGTGCTGCAGAGAAATCTTGGGGAGTGACTCAGGGGATCGTGGATTCCCTCCACATCTCCGCTTCACCACGGACTTTCAAGACACAGAGATCCATCTGACCAGGGAACAGTCAAACAAAATCATCAGCAGTGAGCAATAAAGACTGCTGAACTGTCCATGCTTTTGAGTAGCTGCACAGTCCCCTTTACACCAGGGAGAGGAAGGGAGAACATCCCAACAGGAAAATAATTTCCAGTTCTGTGGTCCATAAAGTCTGAAGACTTTTTCAACTATTCCTGCT